GGCTTGTATTGAGGAAATTTAGCTGCAAAAGTGATTGCTTGTTTGTTATTATGGGAAATTTGTACACATTTGGTCCTATAAATCTTCTGTGTTGGTTGTTGTCCTGTGAGAGCAGAGGAAAAACACTGTGGTCTGAGTATTTTCCCTTCAGAATTGTTCTCCCTTCTATAAACCTATACACTGAGTTTAAGAAATTTTTCTAGATTCTTCAAACACTGGGTATTCTTTTATTTACAATGAAATGAGTAACCCTGAATGAGAAGCAGAGGCATGGAACCAGGGCCTCCAAGCTTACCCCAATCTTCAGACTGTAAAAGGAGGTCATTGAATGCCCAGTGAGTTTTTCCTAAGGGCCTAACTCTTAGGTGTTCTAGCCTACTCATGTCTGCCAGGAAGGAGCTTTTTATAGTGAAAGAAGATACAGAGCCCTGGAAAGCTGGGAACAAGGACCCATTGGAAGGTTTGGTCTGTTTAGGGATGGAAAACTGTGTGATACCCCTTCTGGGAGTGCATCTGTTATTGTCCTGGGACTGCTTTTAGACATTGGCAAATACAACCATTTCAGATTTAGGTCAGAAGTGTCTTTATTGTGAAGGAGTATTGCGACTGTGGGAAGCACCAAATATAAGATCTGCAAGCATCTCAAAGGTTAGGCAAAAAGGGGCTTCCTTTTATAGGAAAGAGAAAATGAGATTAGAAACAGCATTTCAGGGAGATGTCAGGATGTCAGCTGGCACAAGTAGATGGTAAATCAGAGAATGAATTACTCTGAAGTCAGACTATTTTTAGGAGAGGCAGAGAGTGGGGTTATATACTGGTTAATGCTGAGGGAGGATGACAGTTCAGGGGCCTGGCAAAAGGAGAGTAACTTAGCTCACATATGGTTAGCAAGTATTTAGTTTACACTAGTGAATACAGAATTGTTCTTCTAATTGTTTGTGAAGCAAAAATGGGATTTTTTAGGGTCTGTGTCTGGCTTTGTGATAGGTAAAATAGGGAGCATCATCTAAGTCATAACATAAAGGGTGTTTCTTTGCAGTGAGCTCCTCTTAATGAACAAAAAGGATGGGAGATTTCTTTAATTGATCACAGCTATTTACCAGCATTAGTTTCTAGTGCCATCTTGCCCCACCACTTTGCCTTGCTCTGCACATTTCTTCCATTTGGCCATTCCTGTGTGTACCAATTCTAATAAACTGTAAAATGTAATTAAAATGTTTTGCTGTGTTCTATGAGTAGTTATATTGAATTAGTGGAGCTGAGAAGGGAGTTATGGGAATGCTCAATTTATAGGCAGTTTAGAAGTGTAAATACTAAAGAGACATTGATCTTAAATTTAGCAGCACAAGGATTGGTCAGCAATACCTGACCTGATTCCCTTCACAAGATTAGAGATATTTTTAAGGTTTGTTTGTTTTTTATTTCAACACATTATGGGGGTACAAATTTTAAGGTTTCAAATAATGCCCTTTCCCCCCTCTCCCCACAAGTCTGAGTTTCCAGCATGACCATCCCCCAGATGGTGCACATCTCACTCATTATGTATGTATATGCCCACCTCCCTCCCCCCTCCCACCTGCCCAATACCGCATTACTGTAGTTCCTATGTGTCCAATTAGGTGCTGCTCAGTTAATACCAGTGTGCTGGTGAGTATATGTGATGCTTGTTTTTCCATTCTTGGGATACTTCACTTAGTAGTATGGGTTCCAGCTCTAAGCAGGAAAATACAAGATGTTCTATATCACCATTGTTTCCTATAGCTGAATAGTACCCATGGTATAATATCCACCATTTTATTAATCCACTCTTGGATTTGATGGCACTTGGCTGTTTCCACAGCCTTGCAATTATGAATTGTGCTGCTATAAACATTCGAGTGCAGGTGTCTTTTTGGGAAAATTTCATTGGATCTGGTAGATGTCCAGTAATGGATGTGCGATCAAATGTAGATCCACTTGTATCGCTTTAAGGTATCTCCATATTGCTTTCCACAGAGGTTGAATTAGTTTGCAGTCCCACTAGCAGTGTAGGAGTGTTCCTATCTCTCCACATCCACACTAGCATTTATTGTTTGGGACTTTTTAATAAAGGCATTTTCACTGGAGTTAAGTGATATCTCATTGTGGTTTTGATTTGCATTTCCCTAATGATTAGAGATGTTGAGCATTTTTTTTCATATGTTTGTTGGGCATTCTTCTGTCTTCTTTAGAAAAGGTTCTTGTGTTTTGTAAGGGCAGGTCAGTATGGTCCATATTCTCACTGCTGCAGCAAAAATGGCTGGTGACTTTGGCAGGACAGAAAAGCTGAGGGCAGGAAAGGAAAAAACCTCAAATTTTGATCTATATGTAGGAGATCATTGCTTCTAACTGTCTCCTGTGATAAAGGACAGGGAAGTGTGAATTTTTCTGCACCATGGTCCTTTTGCTGTGGGTGA